TAAAATATATCACGGGAACATAAAAGATTTAATGCAGTGCTTTGTACAACCATTAGAGTTTGAAGTCAACTGAACCTCCTCAGTGCTCTCTCCTGGTTGCTGACTGTAATTCGTTTCTTAATTGCCATTCAGACGAGGAAGGGGGGCAAGTCAGAGGTTTGGAACATGGTCAGCTGCACAGTTGGCTGTGAGACCCACACAGAGTGTTTCATTAAAGTATCTATGCACACTTGAGTAACTGATAAATTTATCAACAAAAATTGTGCCATACACAGAGGCCTTAGCCTGGAAAAGCAAGGGTTCTGATTTTGCCTCACCAGCCTGTATGCTTGGAGGATGTGTTTCCCACCAAGGTACATCTCCTCCACTGATCCGTTTCCCAAGAAGAGGGTGCAGGTGTCCTCTTTCTAAGATCTATCACATGGCCTTACAGTGCTATAGTTTCATATTCATAGGTTCAATATCTTTACATCTTGGCAGCTTCTCTTATTTTCCAGGTAATGTTTTAAAATCCTCTTGGTTCACTCGTGTGTCAGATTTGATACTGCCATTTTTAATTTGCGATTCTTTTTTAAACCTGTTGTTGCATTGTGGGATACATCAGTAAGACTAGCAAGGGGTCTTATTAAATGATATATATTAACACGTTTGCAAATGTTTCTCAGCTTTCAGACTATACATTTTTATTGAGATAGCTCTGTGTGTATGTGCACATGTACGTATTTTCATCAGTTCTTTCTGAATACGCAAAAGGATAACTGTAGATGTGTGTGCAGAGCAAAGAGAACTCCATCTCCATCAGAAGAAAATTTATAGGTGTGCTCAGTTGAAGTAGCTCAGTAGTAAGGGTTATATCTAATGGCTCCTTTTCAAAGTGAGGCCCAGTGGGGTTTTCTCATCTACAGATAGGGCTCAGCTCCTGGAGTCAACACAGATTAGGAGATCGACACAGGATGTAAGGATATCCAGAAGACTGATTGGGAGACTGAAATTACTTTGCTTCAAACTTGATACATTGTAGCCCTTTCTTGAGCAGGGAGACCCATGAGATGTTTAGGTGGGCAAGTGCATGTGTCTCTGAGGTTGGCATCCAGTGAATGAAACAGGAACCCTGCTGTCAGGGTTCTTACTGGAGGTGACCTTTAACAGTCTTGGTCCCACAGAATCTCAGCATGCTTAGGTATGACTTACATTCCTTTATGTATTCCATCATTAACACCCAAAAGCTGCCTCAGTTTTTCTAGGTGTTTGTGGGGAAGCCCTAAGAAGGGTAACTGAGACTTCTTGAGAAAGATGGAGAGCAGGGAAGGTATTCTGTAGATTGTAGGACTGGTTTTTTTCTGCCATTCAATGGAAATGTAGTAGTTAGGAAGCTCTGCGGTTCTGCTAGCCAGGCCTCCTGAATTGGATAAATTCTGGTTTTCAAGTTCCTTATCAGATTGGCAGTGCTCAGTGTGTTGGTTGTCTGGACACCTGACTCAGTGAAGCAGTCAGATGATACAGCAAACGGAGGCACTGCACAGACCCAGGAGGTTGAGCAGCTCGGCAGAGCGGAAACCTGCCTCCCAGCCAACAGTTGTGCTGATGCTCTACAACATCATCTCCATTAGCATGTCCACCTTCCCCTGGGCACTTCTCTCTAGTCTTTTCCTAGACTCTTATCTCAAGGGCAGAGCAGGTAAATCAGCTTTGCTGCGTGCAGTTTCAGAACTTGATTTAAGATTCTTCTTAAAAGCTCTTTTCCTTTCACCTTGCTGTCTGGACCAGCCTTCTAGAACCCCACTGTTGACCTCAAGCCAAGAAGAAAGTTCTGGGGATGTGATAGGTGGAGCCACTTAAGTTACTTACATGGTGATAAAGAATCTTAGAAGCTCTCCACGTTCCTTAGTCTGCATTGTTGCTCTGGTTCTTCTTGAGACTTCCCTTTTTTTGTTTGTTTCATTTCCCATTTGTAATCATCAAAAGAGGAATCAATTAGAGTAACACCTCACCTTCATGGAGCATGATGAGGAATAATAGTTATGATTCCTTTACCACTTTACGTTCTAGGCACTTACTAGATATGATCTGTAATCCTGAAGATTACCTTGCGTGGTAGGTTTTATTCCATTTTTACAGAAGACGAAACTGAGGTTCTGAGAATTGAAGTAATCTGCCTGAGATAACATAGGTAATAAGTGGTAGAACTAGAATTTTAAGTCGGCTATTGTTGAAATCGACTTGACGGCAAAGGGTTTGTTTTTTGCTTTATTGTCTAAAAAAAAATTCCTTTTTACTGTATCACTCTGAGAAGGTAAGCTAAAAAAAAAAATCTCTAAATGTTGATAAAGATGTGGAGCAACTAGAACTTTCATACTCTGCTGGTGGGAGTGTAATTGGTACAACCACTTTGGAAAATGTTTTCAGTATCTACTAAAGCTGATCATAAATAAACCCTATGGTCCAACAATACACTCCTACGAGTATATCCGACAGAGATTTGTGCACATGTGTACCAAAAGACATGTACATGATGTTCATAGGATCATTATTTATAGTAGTTCAACACTGGAAACAACTGAAATATCTATCAGCACTAGAATGGAAAAGTAAAATGTGATATTTTCACGTGATGGAATTTTGAACAGCAATCGAGAACAACCTACTGCTATGTGTTAAAAAACATAGATGACTCTCCAGAAATAATGTGTGGAAAAGACAAAAGAGTGTACATTGTATTGTATGTATAAAACCAAAAACCATACCCGTTGCCGTTGAGTCGATTCCAACTCACGGCAACCCTGTAGGACAGAGTAGAACTGCCCCATAGGGTTTCCAAGGAGCGCTGGTGGATTCGAACTGCCAACCTTTTAGTTAGCAGCTGTAGCTCTTAACCACTGTGCTACCAGGGCTCCACGTTATATGTATATGAAGTTCAAAAACAGATAAAACGTATCTGTAGATTTATCTGTTACCTTTGGGGTTGAGGGCATAAGAAAGCTTCTGGGACGTTAGTCATGTTCTGTATTGTGATCTGAAAGGTGGTTATCCAGGTGTGGGTGGTGGTCACTTTGTGAAAATTAATTGAGTTGTGTTCTTAAGATTTTTACACTTTACTACATGTATGCTACATTCAATAAAAGTGTTTACCCCTCCCCCCAAAAAAAATTCTTTGGGCAACCAAATGATAATAATAATGGAAGCTACAAATGATCAGATGTTTGCTAAGCCTCAGTTTCCTCATCTGTAAAATGTATAGAATATTAGAATCTACCTCCTTGCCTTTTTGTGTGGAATCAGTGAGGGAATTCTTGTCAGATGATTGGCAGACTGAGTCAATAAACATGAATGATTGTGATCATGTTCCTATCACTGTTCCATTGCTTTACATAAATTATCTCATTGGATCCTTCTCACCACTTTGCAAGGCATGTGACATTGTTCCCATTTTTCAAATGAGGAAAACTGAGGCTCTAAGGGTTTAAGTCCCTTGTCCAAAGTCACACAGTTAGTGAATGGCAGAGCATGATTCTATTTCCAATGAGCTGATGATCCAGCTGCAGAAATATGGATCAGTTTCAGAAGAGTTGGAAGCAATACCATGATGGATGGCAGAAGGACAGTGATAGGCTAGAATGGAAAGGTGGAACTGATAGACTGCATTTGGGGCCAGGAAACCTGGATGCAGGCCCAATCTCTGCCCTAGTCTTCTGAGATGACAAAGCAGTCACCAGATGTCTCTGGACTCCATCTCAAACATGAAAGTATTGAACTAGATTTTATTCCCTCAAGTGTCTTCTGCATATGCAATTTGGTAATTGTCCATGCTTGTCATCCCATATTTGTGACCTGGATCCTTGAGTTTAAACCTATTTTCCATCAAAAATTCGTTTTTTAGATTATCTTCTCAGTTCTTCCCTGAATCCCCCTAACTTATCTCCCCCCCCGAAAAAAAAAAAACCAAACCCGTTGCCATCGAGTTGATTCCAACTCATAGTGACCCTATAGGACAGAGTAGAACTGCCCCATAGAGTTTCCAAGGTGCAGCTGGTGGATTCAAACTGCCAACCTTTTGGTTAGCAGCCAAGCTCTTAACCACTGCACCACCAGTGCAGGTAATCGCTCTATTACATGTCGGTTGTCCTAACCTTAGCTGTTCCTGTCTGTGTCCTCTACTAGACTGTATACTCCTTGAGGGTACCAACTAAATCTTACTCATCTCTTTATTCCCACGCATGCTGCCTAGAACATTTCACACATCTTGGGAAATCTTTAAGTAAATATTTAAATCCAGAGAAAGTCCTTCTTGAGTGATGTTTGGGAGATCAGCCTCAGGCTGTGCTGGACTTAAGGCAGAGACCTAGAGAGAACTTTCCTTCATGTTTTTATTTTATTAGAGATCCAGGAGAACACAGTAACAGAGTGACTGGGTAGAAAAATTATTAGAGAACTTTGCAGCTCCCCAGCATGTGTTTATGAAACCTGAAGTTTGATAAGTGATCAAGTGTCAGTGAAAATCTAAGCCCTTCCCATATGGAATGGCCCCACTTAATTTAATGTCATTTTATTTTATGAGATAGTTAATAAACAGGTACTGTATTTGATCTTGTGAGTGTAGCCCTCTATATTTAGCTTTTTCAGCTTTAATGGAACTATAATTTTAATCATGATTATTACTTTACATTTTAATTATAATTTGGTGTGGCTTAAGTATACATTTCTGAGAGTGATTGTGTAATGAAAACAGGAATTAGCTTTTCATTAACAAAATAATGGGAGAGTTCCCACTGCATTCTAGTCTGTGTTCAAAATCTATGGGCTGGCCTAAAAATAGCAAGGGGAGTTTAACATTTTGGTTAAAAACATGCTTCTAAATTGGCTGTGTGCACAACCGAGTCTCTGTTGCTCCATCTTGCTTTATCCTGTTCTTTTGCCTTTCACAAATAAAATCTTAAATGCAAATTCACTTGTGTCTTTGAGATTTCAGACGGCTTATTTTTATTATTTTTATTTTTATTTAGATAATTAGCACCATGGAGCCTCAGGTGTCAAATGGCCCAACATCCAATACAAGCAATGGACCCTCCAGCAACAATAGAAACTGTCCTTCTCCCATGCAGACAGGGGCGGCCACAGATGACAGCAAAACCAACCTCATAGTCAACTATTTACCCCAAAATATGACCCAAGAGGAATTCAGGAGTCTCTTTGGGAGCATTGGTGAAATAGAATCCTGCAAACTCGTGAGAGACAAAATTACAGGTATGCTCTTCAGTATTCCAGGCTCGGGACTCGCAGATACATTGTTCTGGAAGATGTGCAGACCTTAGCAGAAATGCACACACGATGATGCATCTGAGTGTCTGCATTGTGTATCCTGCTTGCAAGGGTGGTGTGGATACACGATCATAAACTCACATGTGGGTGTACACATGCATAAAATCATATTATGGACTGATAGGACTGCAAAACAGATGAAGATTTTGGAGCTTCCTCAACTTTACGTAAAATGCCCCTTTGGTGTTATCCCCTTTTATCCTTAATCAGCGCCCCCTTCACTTTGTTCTTTAGTTCTCATTTCTGTCCTCTGTCCTCCCTATACTCCACCCTACTTTTTATCCATCTATTCCTCTCCTCACAAATTTGACGTGTGTTCAGTGTTCTTCCATGTGTGTGAAGCACATGTTCCAAAGTGGGCCATTGTGGACTTGTGGAAGGGTGACACAGCTCTCATTGTCTCTGGGGTGAAACAGGCCCTACCGATAGCAGATTATTGTGGAATCAGCTGCTCTGCAGTAGAAGGGAAGATGTTTATCAAAGATCTGCCTATGAGGTATTTTCTTATTTTATTTGTTTGCTTTGAAGATACTCTTTGAGGAGTCAGCGACTTTTTACTTGAAAATGAAATAATACCATTTATAACTTCAATAGTTGAGTTTGTAGGTACTGATTTTTTTCTGAATCAACAACTGTTCATTGAGGACCTACTGTTTGCTGGGCTACATAATGATGGCAGCGAAGCTGCTGCTCTCTTATAATCCTGAAATCATTCACACTGCACTTGAAGTAATTGTCACTTTGAGTGTTGGCTTTTGTTTCCCTTTCTTTGGACAGTTTAATTTATGAACAATTCATTGATATAAGAAAAAGGAAATTCTATGATTAAAATAGGAGATAGATCATCTTGGTCTTAAATCAGAGAATACAGAGTATGTGTGAGCATGTAGGTATAAGTATTCTATTATTCTTCCAATTCTCATGTAAATTCCCCCCGCCTTATGAATTAAATAAGGAGCCCTGGTGGTGCAGTGGTTAAGCACTGGGCTGCTAACCAAAAGGTTGGCGGTTCGAACCTACTAGCCACTCTGTGGGAGAAAGATATGCAGTCTGCTTCCATGAAGATTTAAAGCCTTGGAAACTCTATGGGGAAGTTCTAATCTGTCCTGTAGGGTCACTGTGAGTCAGAATCAACTCGATGACATGGATTATACAGGTGTAAATTAAATACTTTGCAATATGATAAAACTTAAATAACTATGCTGCTTTCTAAAATATAAGTCACATAACCCTCCAAACATAATTTCCTCATCTGTAAAATTAGAAAATAATAGTTATCACAAAGGGCTTATTGTGAAGATTAAATGAGAAACTGGATATACAGCACCTAGCACAAGGCCTATTGCATAGGGGTCCTTCAATAAATATGGACTTTTATTAACTTCTGAAAAAATAATCATCCATTGAAAACCCTATGGAGCACAGTTCTACTTTTACACGTATGGGGTTGCCATGAGTTGGAATTGACTTGATGGCAACTGATATACTGGTATATATTATTATAGATGCAGTTAGTATGTTTCAAGGAGGGTCGCTATGAGTTAGAATTGACTTGACAGCAATGGGGGGAGGGAGGAGCCAGAACAGAGAAATTATATCAAGGGCTCCAAATAGGGCCAGGGTTTTAATGACCTTATCCTAGAGTGCTGGTTCTTCCATCCTTTAGCAGAATTGCCCATATTTTCAGAAAGCCAATGTTTAGATTTCTGAATAATCTTTATATAATAGGATGATCATTCAAACCAAATTAAAGCCAGTTAACCATATGATTCTTCCTCCCACTCCTGTATAGAAAATGTATTTTTGGTGTAGCCTTACCTTCTAAATAGGGAGTCTGTCAGCTATATTAGTGAATATTATTAATCACCTTTTCAGAAGCCTTCCTTTAGAACTGTAGTGAGATTTTTGAGAAGTACTGATTCATGGTGTTGTTCCTTGTTTTCTAAAGACACATGTTTAAACAAGCAGATTCCTTTACTGAAAGAATGCTAATTTGGTAGTTCACCGAGTGGATTTGAATAGGAGTGACAGCTTCAAAGACAGCCTTTAATTTGGTATACAAAACCAAAATTGTCAACTTTGGTTTGTTTAGCACCTTCTCCAGCAGAAGCAGAGACATACAGTAGCATCTGAGCTTAAAGAAGAAGCTTACGGGTTGAAAGCAGAAATACAATTCCGGCATAAATTTATAATTATGTTTTTTTTTTTTTTCTAATTCAGACAGAAAAGAAAGAATTTTGTTTGCAGAGAACTTATGGAAATGAGGGAGGGAAATACAGAGAGACAGAGATATTTGCCCTCATTTGGTAGCAGTGTTTAATAAAAGTAGAACTTGTGGTTGTAAAGAGTGCTTATTAAATTCTTCATTTACACTACCTAATTAATTCTAGCATTTTAAATTAACAGTGAAACTGGTCCCTGCTGTACCATTCCATAGATATAGCATATTTCCTCCATCCACCCGTTGTTCAGGTTTAATTGGCTACACTAAAAGTCAGAGACGGAGCAGCGAGAGCTAGGGCTGTGGGGAGGTGGGGAAGGGATGGGAATCACTCTAACGGAAGACCTCCCAAGGCCTACATTTGGGGTTAAGTCATAACACAGGCTGGAAGAGGTGAGGTATCACACCAGGCAAGTTGAAAGGCTGCTGCTGGTGGTTTAGAAGTCAGGGTAAATGACATCATAGGTATTTTTGTTGCCCTGATTTTTAACATCCCAGTCCCCCCTTTTCCTCCAACACCTCCTACAGATCTCAATGCATCTCGATCCTGTGAAGTTTACAAGGAGTTCTAAATATCCAGTGGGAGGGTTGGGGGGTGGGAGGTGGCAAAGAGATAACAATTCAAGATTAAGATTTTCCAGCCCTATACCACTCCCTTAAGAGATTGTAATGGCTCCCCTTAGAAGGTTCTGGCTTATAAAGTTAAAATCCCTTGACAAAGAGAGAGAGAGAGTAAGTGACTCTGTTGGTGGTGTTACTGGCAGGCTAGATTCACCCCTGGCTGTGGGTTGTCAATGAATTCTCCATCTGAGAACACGTAGAGGAAATTCGGGCATAGACTTAAGGTTTATGATGCTGAGGACATAATTGCCACCGTTTATCAAGCACTTGTTCTGTGCCAGGTACTTGATAAGCACTAGACATACCTTATTTTATTTAACACTCAAAACAGTCTTCATTTTGGATGAGGAAACTGAAGCTTATTGAGGTTAAGTAACTTCCCCAGGGCAGCACCGTTATTAGTAGATGGTGGAGCTGGGATTCACCCACAGTTATGTAGAAGCACATATGGGTGCCTCTGCCTGTCTGTGTTAAGTTCAGCACCTGCGTAAACCCCATCTCCCCCATAACCCAACACAATGCTGTGTTCCTCTGAGTAGAGGTTGGTGGCCATCCTCTGTAGACTCTGCCTAATGCAGCATGGCTTTAAATGAGACTCCTGTGTGCAAAGGCAGGCGAAGATGGCAGTATTTATCATCCTGTTCCTTCAGAGTAGCACCAGATTTACTGGAAGTGCCAGGTTTAAGATTCCCTTACAGGGCTTTTGGACATCTTTGTTACTTATCTTTTCAGAGATATTCAATTTCTTTTTCCAATTGAGAAAGTATACTTATCAGGATAATCTAGGTACCAGGAGAAAAAACAGGTGTCCTGAGTTGCTTTTGTGTGCAGCTGTGGGCACATGATGGCACTGGAAGCCAAGTCCTGTGCTTTTCTTCTTCATCCACTTACAAGCTCTACTGCTCTAGAGAAAGGGAAGTGCGTGTGACCCACAGGATTCATGCAACCCAGGAACTCAAGGCAAAGACATCAAACCCCTGGTTTGATGAAATTATATTATTCCCACGGACTTCAGAGATTTTAGTTTCTTGGTTTGTTGCCCTTTTTGTTTTTGTTTTGCCTGCATTGCAATTGCCTTACTAAATCTAAGTTCCTAAATGATCAGTATTTTAGGGGAGGAAACACATAGGTTGGCCAGACAGGGTTAGGTGGCTCAGGGTATGTCTTGAACCTAGCAGAGCTAGAATGCTAAATAGCATTTTTGTAAATTTCTATCTTGCTATCACCCCACCCCAAAAGGAATAGAGAAAGGAAAAAAAAGAAAAAGTAACAAACAAAATCCCAGAAAAAAATCAGTGTAAGACAAAAAATAGTTTTGATCTGCCTATCCAGATTGTGTGATTATTTGCATCACAGTGATAAAAAAGAATTCTATTTTTACTTGAGGTCACGCTTTATGTGTGTCCATGCAGTACAATTTTTAGGAGCAATTTTCTATCCATTTCAGGCAAGTGAGAGCTCTGATGCGGGATTTTGACGACAGGGCAGTCCAAACTGAATCCAGTTACAAAATTGAATATATCTAGTGACCAGTGTTTGGAGGAGCGCGTAAATGCTGTGGGTGGCTGAGAAAAGGTGAAGTCTGTGTTAGTTGGAGCTATTGGGGGAGATTTGAAAGATGGGGGTAGAGTTTAGGTAGCAGAGAGAAAAACAAAGGAATAGAGCTAAAATTCTGGTCTAAGAACAAAAGCATTTTTATTCCTGTGCTTTGGACAAAGGAAGTAGAGCAGGAACATGCTTCTTTGGAAGTAGGGATCTAATATGAAGCAGTATTGCCAAATGCAGTTAAGCATACCCAAAAATTAAGTTAGTGAGAATTGCACCCCAATGAACAAAGACAGCATTCCCTAAACACCACCTCTAATCCATCTCTTGGTTTCTTCCTTTGTAATGTATCTTTGGCTTAATTAATGTTATCACTCAGTGGAAAAACAAAACAAAGCTATTTCACTACTGTGGACATTAGCGTGAATACTTTGCTACCACCTTTGTATCTGGAATTACATCTCTAATTAAAGGAACCAGTTCGGTTTTGATGAAGTGACATTTGGGTAACTTCTGTTCTTTCTTGGATTTGTGAAAG